GTACAGCTTTAACAAAGAGGAATTTATTCTCTTACAGTTTAGGAGGCTAGAAGTCCAAATTCAGAGTGCTGACTCTAGGGGCTGGGTAGGTCTCTCCCTTTGGGCTTCAGCTCTGCCTCTTGTTCTAGGCCCACTGAAACTGGAGGTGTCTCCTAATTCAGGCAGCTACTGGCTGCTGAAGCTGACAAACCCAAGGTCAGCAGGTAAAATGGCACAATTCCAAGATCAGTAGGCAACATGGCAGGCTACTAGTTCAAGTCCAGGAACAAGCCCAAGATTGGCAAGCAACAAGGCAGGCCACAGCTTCAAGTCCAGAAACTAAAGATGAAAACTTGGCCAAAGACATTATCTAAATGTACCCAAAAGCAGAATTTCTCAAATCTTCCCCATATATACAGGAATCAGGCCACATAGCAAAGGCAACTAATTAGCTGCTTACAGCAGATTCCACCATGGAGTTGCTTACAGCGCATCCAATCTCATGATGGAGAATAGCTGCATCCAGCTGCCAAGCTACTCAAAGTCACGGCCCAGCCAAGTTGACACATAACCTTAACTACCACACACAGTATAACAGAAATAAATAACTCAGTTCTTTCAATATAATGTCACAAACCAATTTTTCTGTTTTAAAGGATCAAACATTAGGTACAATCACAAAACATTTCAACATCCATTCCAAGAAAACACCTTGAATTTCTATATAGCATAATAAGTCAGAAGATATAAACAGTTGAAAAATAGTTCTAAAAGTGGAAGAATAGTAAATATACAACATTAATTCTCAATAAATTTTTCACAGCAATGCAGTAAAGTATTATAGAATATAGTTACATTTTGTGATATAAAGATAAGTACTTTCAAATGTAGAAATGTTAATTATTTTATATTAATAGTAGGTGTTATTAATTTTAATATTATTGTAAGATTTGTTCTCAGATGTTCTTTTCTGAATTTGCTAATTTGACCCTGGAACACAAAAAATACTTAGCTTACTCTATGATATTTTGTTTTAATTTATAATATAAATCAATGTAAAAGGATGTGATTACATGAATGAAAAATGAAGGAAAAATAATGGTATTTAATTTTTAGCAATATAATAACGTTTTTGATGCTGACATACTATATATAGATCACTTAGGTATTTTTATCATGATAATTTAATGCCTCTAAAAATTGCACTAGTTTAAAATGCCTATGTGTGCAAAAGAACCACACAATTTATGATTCAACCCATTTAAGCTGCATTGAGGGCTCAAAGCAAATAACCCTTATTTTGAACATGCCTTAAATTTTTGTTCATATAGGTTGATGTCAACTTCTAATCAGGAATCGTTCTCTCAAATTTATTGTCCTGTGCTACTCAAGTTTTCCAGTTGTTGCCAATGGCTCTGAGTGGTCCTAAAAGGGTCACAAAAAGGAGGAAGGCAGGGATATAGTGGCAGCTTCTGCACCCCCAGGAACAACATCCCAGATGCCCCTGCCTGGACTTACTTTAAACAGAGTTGTTGCCTCTACTATGAAAATCTATAACAGATCAAATTACTTGCACTTAAAGGAACCTAATCTCTGGTATTTGCACTGAAGAACTAGGCTCAATTTCTCCCTAGATAGTTACTAACTATGCTTTAGTGGTAGAGAAAATCTCTAACGCTATAATTTAAAGCTGGGTGCCCAATTAAGTTCCAAAATATATGGGTCTTTTAGAGTCTGAAAATAAAAACATAAACCTAATTGGGTTACTTTACTTGTGTAATACCATATTAAAGTGTGCTTTTTAATTATCCATGGTTGCCATTCTAGGAACTGTAATAATTCTGGGAGGATATTGCATATTACTAGACTATATTTTTTCTTTTAAAACCACACCCTTCCCTCAATAAGGGCATAAGACGTCTTGGATGATGATGAAAATTCTAAGTGTAGGACAAGTATATACAGTTGATCAAATAATTTCACTATCTTTCTTCACAGTTATATTCCAAATGAAATTTCAATATAAAAGCCAAATAATTTTATATTTTTAAAAGGTACGCCCTTACAATGTACATTTGTTGTTATTAGGTGCCATGGAGTTGGCTCCATCTCATGGTGACCTTACTATGGACTTGCTATGTACCTATAATGTTTTTTCATCATCATTTAATATTAATCAAATGTCCAACAGGCAATGACACCAGTTTTCCCCTGCTAATGGATAGCTTATCCCCCATATTCTCTATACTCACACAGAAGTGTGATTGTGTACTTGCAGGATCTTCCCACAGATAACTCAGCAAAATCAAATAAGTGATGCAACATGTTTGTTCTTATCTCCAAGTCTTCATTTGACTTAATATCTCAAGTCTTCTCTTTGGTCAGGAAAAGGAAATCTCTCATTCCTAGCACATTCCTCCTCCTTACTACTTATAGTTTCCTTCTTTCTGAAAGAGACAGGCAAGACTCTTCTCATTTGGGCTGTTGTTTTGGGATATATAAATGCCGTTTCTGGGTGCTAATATTAAAAAAGTTCAACACCTTAATAGGTTAAGCTTCTCAGCCTAAACCACAGAGAATAGGATTACATTCTTGCCTAGTGCAGAACTATGACTATGAAGATCTTCTTGCATCTCTCCAACCCCTTTTTAACTTTCTAATCTCCTAATGCATTTAGAAAAAGAAAATACAGCTGAATAGGTAGATAGGCACCTTATTTAGCAAGATATGTCAAGAAATGAGATTCATATTTAACTGTTTCTCTTGGTCTACGTGTCAATATTTTAAAATACAATCTATACAAGAACCATAAGGTTGTTATTTCAGAACTGAATTTAGAAAAAAGTGGGCCCATCTCTATCCCCATCTTAAAGACTTTAGTTGCTGGAGTATCAAAAAGAATATGCCATAAGGATTGACTGTGTTACAGACCGCAGGGTTACCAAGACACTCCTGTGACTCACATAATGAAGAACTAGTTGATTTAGTTGATGATTCACATTGGATAGTGCCCTTTAAGAGACATGTTTATAATTTTTAGAAAGCATAATTATAAAACCCAAGTGCCTAATCTTTATAAAGCACTTGCAAGCATTTTTAGAGCATATCAATCTAGTGAATCAAAGAGCTGGGAATTTGGAAAGACAGAAGAATGAAGAGGAGTGAAGTTGATGGTTCCTAGTTCTCTCAGTGCCTTCTGGACCTCATTCTCTTATTTCCAAAGCTCTGTGTGTGTGTGTGTGTGTGTGTGTGGAGGGGATGTGTTTCCTTATACCTAGTGCCCAAGCATATGCAGTAATAATATTAAACGTTAAGTATTACTTCTAGGGAAAGGGATGGAAAATATTTATGATGTATCCTGAGATCATTACTACAGTCTCAATGAAAAGAGCCAGACAAAGTAGCTTGGGGAAAACAAACCCTGAATTCCATTAATGAAAAATGCAGTAACAACAGAATAGTATTATAATTGATCTCTGTTTACAAATGAACAAAACTGATGTTCTTGGCTTCAATTTACCTGCATTCTAAGGAACCTCCAAAAGGAAAAAAAATAAAATAAAATAACCTGCTGCTGCCGAATCAATTCTGACTCACAGTGACACTACAGCACAGAGCAGAATTGCTCCATAGGGTTTCCAAGACAGTAAACTTGACAGAAGGAGACAGCTACATCTTTTTCTTGCAGAGCAGCTGGTGGTTTCAAACTGCTGACCTTCAGGTTAGCAGCCAAGCTCTTAACCACTGTGCTACCAAGATCCTAAGGAAAGCAAGTTCTATCTTTATATTAGAAAACCTTGTCAAGAGAGGGGACTCAGACTTAGCGGCCGCTGGCCATGCTTTCCAATGAATCAGCAGAGCTATATTTAAATTCTAGGATTTTATATTCCAGATATGAAACCAACTAATTCTGGCTAATGAAAAATAAACAAAGAAAAAGTTGTACAATTCTGAAGATCCCAAGACTATCATAAAAGCAACTGCTATGCTAGCATTTGTATGGTGCTTTACAATTCACAAGCTCTTTTCACACATTGATTTCATTAGTCCTCACAGCAACTCCATTAAACAGCCAAGGAAAGGGAGACTTCATGTGTTTTTACTTGCCCCATGTCAAGCATTTAAGAATGAAGGCAGACTAGGCACAGAGCAGTTCTCTTTCCATTCTACTCCCTGTACCTCTCCTCAGCTTTGAAACCGTGAGGTGGGAGAGAGAACAGAAGGAAAGTCCAATTCATTTTGATATGTGGTGGTGGTGGTGGGGAAATTTTATATTCTGACTGTCTTATCTATGATTGTTGAATCCCCAAGCATAATACCTTATAACACTGGCCAACATATGTTTACAACTTGAAGGCGTCTAAATACCTTAGGTAATCCTTTTCAACTCTTCTAATAAAATTGGACATTCCTGATACAAGGCTGATTTTAAAACAACCTTGCAGTGGAAGGAAAATAGATGAATCATCCAGGCAACAGCATTTTCTATAATCTTTAGATGTTAGTAATAAAGCTTTTTCATAGCCAATAAAACACGAGGAAACATGGAGGGCACTTCCAGTTCCAAAGTCACTGTTATGAAATTGTGCATGTTTTATAGCTTCTAAGGGAAATTTCTCCTTTCACTCTGAACTGGCCACCTTCTTCTCAACATGCCTCAGGCACTCATCCCTTGTCCAGGGCACCCAGGGTCCAGGCTACCAGTGGAGACTAAATTTTCTGACACATAAATTGGTTCTATTGGGAGGAAACAATTTTCTTTGAAGTTTTTCCTAAGTCCTCTCAAACACTAAGGCTGATGTTGGACTTGCTTTATTCAAAAATACTGTCCTGACATTAAATGACTTTTAAACCAATCAAGCCTTAGTTATGCCAGAACTTTTTTTTTAAAAAAAGTAAGATAAACCAACAACAAAAATATAAAGCCAAGCTACTTGTTATATTTCTGGGAGTTCTTTCAAATTTTAGTGTATTGTGTTTTTATTAATAGTTCATATAAAATAATTCATAGTTCTTGGTCATAGCAATATGAAAATGCAACTAGAAACACAGTCTTGTACTCAATGAATGTATTTATGCTTATCTAAGTTCATTTGTTCTCATGATGTCTGGTTGTGTTCAGCTAATTGCGCAAAAAGTCTATTTCAAGAGTTTGCATGAATAAGGAGCTCAGGTTGAAACAGGAATGAATTTGATGGACTTGGAAGATTTAGGCGAGTCCTTCCAGGTACCCATACTGTTTGTTGGGCTTCGGTTGTTAGTATAAGAAGTCTGCCTCCTACTCATGCTGTCAGAATCTTCTTTGTTGAATTTTTGCTTCATGTTCCGGCAGCATGGAAAGCTTTGGACACAGTCTTGCAGAAGATGCCCACTAAAAAACATGTATATCCAGGGATTGCAGCAACTGTTCAAGGAAGCCAGTAATGCAGTGATGGTGATGGCAGGGTTTTCAGAATCTATATGAAAAACATAAAGGGGTATTACTTAAATAATCTAATTCAGTAACTAAGCACAGAATAAACTCACTTTTCTATCAATTAATGGAAGAGGAAAAAAGTTTTGGGATAATATAGAAAATTAACTATTTTGTTTATTGGTTAAGGTTTCGGGTGGTGTACGAAAATTGGCTTGGTTGTAACACATTATGCTAACCAAGATGTCTTGAAATTAATTGTAATATTTTAAACCACTATTATAATGCTCAGAAGGAAGGTTGGGCAATCCTACTTCTGTAGTGATACTGCCTCGGAAATCCAAGGAGGGGTCCCTAGGAGTTGGGCCAACTTGATGACGAATAACAACAACAACAACATTATAATGCTAAGATAGAATGGGAATCACAGGAAAGTTAGACTCAGATAAAGAATACTAAATAGCTCATTTAAAAAGTCCTTGTGTCCTTTGCACCAGTGTTAACACATCTCCTTGGATGCTGCATTTAGGAATAGCTGAAATTTCAATTTCAAGAGTCTGTGACCAGACATACCAGATTGTATTTATTCTAATAAGACAAGCAAAAGCATAGCATGTGGACATGTTCATTTTTAAAAAAATACTAACCATATTTTTGTAATATAAAAATTGTTTAGAAGGTCCTTGAAGGATGTAAAATTCAGTTTTTCTTTGCTTAATTAGAAACTCGGCTTGATTTTAAAAGAAAGGCATCTTTAACTGTGATATACAGAATTGAATTATGTTAAGACAGACATCTAAATTAGAAAATTCCAACAAGATTTTGAAATATTTTTATGTTAGTTAGCACTGGTCAAACTACATAAATATTATACCCTTTCACAATGGAGTTATTGCACTGATAATATACTTTGTCTAAAAACAAGAATAAACAGCAAACATTGGCATTCCCTTATTAAATATAACCTTGGCCTTCTCACTCTTGTTATGATACAATAAATTACAGGCCATTTAATCATACTCTCTGCTAATATTGAAAGAAATCATGTCTCTGCTAAGATTGAAAGAAATCATGATCCATGACTAAGTTTATATATATATATATATATAGTAATCATCAACATACCCTTGCAAGAATAAGGAAGTTTCAGTAATCCAATCTACATCCTAATAAACCAATTAACCCTGCATAAACCCTAGATATACCTAGACTAGATTTTTTATTTGATTGACAATATTCAGAGGCTGCTATGGTCAACCAAATCAAGAGATGGTTAACCAAAACAAAGCAAATATATTTATGTTGTATTTCTCATAATCAGTAGTAAATATTATAGCCATGAAAACTTTTTTTGTGTTTAATAAATCTACACTCAAACTTTTTATTTAAAATATAACATCCAAAGTATATCACGTGTATCGCCCTATCCCAGTCCCACATAACGAAAGGAAATAGTCCCTCTCAGACACCTATTTCCCAGCTACAGTTATCTGGAGAAGTCCTGTAATATATTTGATTGGAAAAGTTTTCTTTTTCTTTTTTTTCCTGACTGAGGAAAACTTTTTCAAGATGCAGTATTAAGGAATACTTTTTTTGGGGGGTAAATCTTTGTCCAAACAGGTTTTTTTTTTTTTTTTTTAACCTTGTGAAAGAATTAAAATCACTCTGGTATGTGGTATATGGAACATTCTCAGTAAGCTAGAGAAAAGAGTTGTGTGAAATGGTGCATAGCTGTGTGGTCAAAGTAGTAATAAAAGACTAATGAGTCAATCTAACAAATGTAGCATTTAGCACTAATTCTGCTTAGAAATAATAGAAAAAAATAATCAAGCTAATTATTAGGGAAAAATAAGGAGATCATGATGAGAAATGGAACAGTAGCTAAATGCCAAGTCAGAATTTTTAATTTTTTCCTAGAAAAAATATGATTTTTTTTTTCTTTTTACACTTACCCTTGGAGCATCTCTGCAAAACTTTTGTATTAATTGTAATACTGTCACAATTCTAGTGAAAAGCAGTTGTGACAGTAAAAGTATTTTCCTGTATCCAGTAGTCTTGAAAGGAAGGTGTTAACATCGCGGTAGCAAAAAATTCTGTTTTGTAATTGTGTGGTTGACTCTAAGCCTCAATTTCTGGATTTAGAGTCATTGCACCTTGGAAATGCAGATTCCTGGGCTGCATTTCAGATCAACTGAATCAGGAAGTTGGGAATTTGCATCTTTGACAGTTTCCTGAAGTGATTCTTATGCATGCAAAAATTTTAAGAACTACTGCCCTGAAGGATATTATGAAAATACTATCCTTCTTTCAAACACATAACCACAGTCCCACGCAGCACTTTCCTTCATTGTCTGGATACTTACCGACCCAGGCGGACTTCTCATCCCAGACCGACCACATCTGGATGATGAAGAAGGGCGCCCAGCAGACGATGTAAGCTGTCACAATCACGAAAGTCATCTTCACGGTACGGATCTTGGCACGGGAAATGGTCTTCACGCTGCTGACACAGGGCGAGAGCAGGAGCCCCTTGTGGAAGGCTCTGCCCGCGCCCTCGGGGCCCCTGTCCTCGCGCGACGCAGTCTTCCCACGGACGTTTTGCCAAATGTGGTAGCAGATGAAGCCGTAGCAGGTGCCCAGGATGATCACTGGCCCCACGAAGATGCCGCACGTCATCCAGGTCACATAGGCGCGTGGCCCCCAGGGCTGGATGAAGGTAGCCCAGCAGTCGTAGGTCTTGGTGACATTGTTCACCTCGATCATGGAGAAGATGAAGTACTGAGGCGTGCTCAGCACGAAACTCAGCACCCAGGCGGCGGAGATCATGAGGTGCGAGCGGCGGGCCGGCTGCTGCAGCGTCTTGAGCGGGTGGCACACTGCAATGTAGCGGTCGGCGGTCATGACCACTAACATGTAGGCTGACGCGAACATGGCAAACACCTGTAGGTGCTTCACCACGCGGCACAGCCCGTCCGGGCCGCGGAAGCGGTAGGTGATTTCCCAGCCCAGCTGCGGCAGCACCTGGAAGAAGGCGACCGCCAGGTCTGCCAGGCTGAGGTGGCGGATGAAGAGATGCATGCGGGAAGTTTTGCGCGGCGTGCGGTGCAGAGCCAGCAGCACGCTGCTGTTGCCCAACACGGCCACCACGAAAGTCACGGCCAGCACGGCGATCTCCAGCTTGGCGAGCTCCTCGTTCCGCAGGTCCCCCTCCTGGCTGTCACCTTCCCCGAGCGTCTCGGCCTCCCTGCTCAAGTTGGTGCTGCCAGAGGCCAGAGGCCACCACGAGCTAGAGTTGCCTGTGGACCCCTCGCCGGAGCCTCCTGAGAAACGCATGCTGTCCCTGCAACACGTCCTCGACCCTCTGCGGAGGTCCTGGCCGGCGTGCAGCTCTCTTCCCACCTCAGCTGAGAGGTTCCCAGACGCGCGCTCTCTCGTTCCTGCGCTCGCGGCTCGCTGGCCTCCTGCTCTCCCTTCCACTCGCGTCTCCGGGCGCAGCTTCTCACCGCCCACCGGCAGCTTCCCGGTCCCGAGCGCCGGCCGCTCTTCAACTCTTCTTTTCTGCAGCTCTGGTGAAGTCCGGGAGGTGCGCTCGGAGCTTCTGAAAGCACTGGGCTCTGAACTCAATTATTTAGGCGGGGTTTGTTTCCCCAGAACGCGCTCCCTCTCGCCCCAGTGGCTGGAGACTGCTGGTGCGGACTTCCCTCCTCCACACCCCCTGTTTTCCCCCACCCCCTTCCCTCCCAACGTCGGCAATTTGTCCTCTTTGCATCACTGCTGCAGGGGTGTGACTAGGAGACTTGGTGGCTACTTGGCATAGACGTAACGGTGCTTTCCCGCTCTTCCCTTTCAGAAACTTGGAGAACCGGAAGTGTCATACCAATCCTGGCCTCGCCCTTCTGTCACCAGTCCTTGGTCACTAGCCACTTTAACCCCGTACTTGACTTCGGCAGGTGCGTTACATATATGCTGTTGGTTACATATATGGTATCTTGAAAAGCCTGGTCCGCAGGCCCACGAGTCCTCGGGGACCTGAACTTGGAGCATCACCCCACTTACCTAGCCGGGGTTTCTCAGCAGCTGGCTCTTCACTGGGTAGCCAATTTGGTTCATTTTACTTCTCAGGCAAATTGACTTAGTCAATTGCGCACCTCCTGCTCTGCCTCCCAACCCCCACGTCGCCTCCCTCGGCTCCCCTCCTGTCTGCCCTTCTTTGCAGGATAACAAATAGTGACTTAAAGGGCACTCTCTTCCTGGTAAGAACCACCCCCCCCCAAAAAAAAAAGAAAGGAAAAAAATCCAGATTTGTTGCCCTGAAGTCAATTCCGACTCAGTGACCGTGGAAGTGACTCCTCACAAGGAGCACTAATCGGGCAGTGCCAACGCAGCTCCGCTGCCAGCCGAAGGTCGAAGGTCGGAGGTGTCACCCACCAGCAGCTCGGAGGGAGAAAGATAAGGCAGTCTGCTCCCCTCAAAATTTGCAGCCTGGGAAACCCTACAGGACGTTCTACTGTGTCCTACAGGGTCGCTATGCTATTGCACTCGGCTGCAATGGGTTTGGGATTTTTTGGTTTAATGGCCCTCCAGAGAGCTCTCATGGTGTAGCGGTTAAAGCGTTTGGCTGTTAACCAGAAAAATCAATGGTTTGAACCCACCAGCTGCTCCGTAGAAGAAAGATGAGACAGTCCATTTCTGTAAAGATTTACGGCTTTGGAAACTCAGCAGGGTCTCCATGAATCAGATAGGACTGGATGGCAGTGAGTTTTTTGAGTTTGAGGACAAAGTAGAACTGCCTTACAGGGTTTCTAGGGCTGTAATCTTTACAGAAGCAGACTGCCACATTTTCTCCTGCAGAACGGCCGGGGTGAGGGGGCGGGGTTCGAACCCTCAACCTTTAGGTTAGTAGCCTAGTTCTTAATTACTGCACCACCAGGGTCTGTAGTAAGGGAACATTACAGACAAACATGTAGGCATTTTGAACATTTGTACATTTGAACTGCCCGTTTGAACGCACTCACTCGTCCCAATGGCTGCTGTGCGTGCATCTACTTCAGGGAAAGGGACGTTTCCTGGTTTTCCAATTTTCCCGTGGGGCTAGAGACTTGGAATTTTCTCTAAACTACATTCCTGGGGTTCTCTCCGGGAAAAGCTTGATTCCCACAGGAGAGATGGCGGGAGTCGGGCTGCAGAAGTCCTTGGAGACTTTGCCTGGTTATTACTGAATGGCCAGGACATTTTTGCGGATGGACAAAAAGCTACCCAACAGCAGCAGCCAACCAGGGAGTGCGGTTCAGGGCACCGGACTGAGAAGTCTCTCCCTCTCCCTCTCTCTCTCTCTCTCTCTCTCTCTCTCTCT